AAAAAAAAAAAAAAAAAGAAAAAAAAAAAAAAAGTTCTGTGAGCTTAACCATCTATAACTGCCTATTTTTTCCTGTAAAGAACGATCTTGCTGTAACAATCTCCTTGCTTTGGTTTTTTGAGAAGGGCTCACTCAGAAATTATTCTAGAAGTCAACAGGTAACATGTCTGTGGTGAGCTTAACCATCTATAACTGCCTATTTTTTCCTGTAAAGAACGATCTTGCTGTAACAATCTCCTTGCTCTGGTTTTTTGAGAAGGGCTCACTCAGAAATTATTCTAGAAGTCAACAGGTAACATGTCTGTGATCAAAACAAAGCATCACACTTAATATTAAGGTCTGCTTAATGTTTGAATTTTAAACAGAAGTTGCAGGTACTGTGGTCTTTATCTCTGCAGTAGTTTAGAAACTCAGAGCTGTTGCACAATAACTTCACATGATTCTCCAAAAGTTGATACATTCTTTTTAAATGGAAGGCAACATCAGCACAGGACTACAGAAAAATATCTTATATAGTGTAAATGAGCAGCACACAGGTGGTCTGGTTTAATATTTCAGAAATGTCACTTCATCTCTTCAAAAGAAAATTTTTAAAACACCTCTTGGAGATGTAGGATAATGAAAAGGTTCCGTAATCCCAAGTTTTATTTCATGATCCCTTATTGCAAAAGCAACCAGTTCTGGTTCCATATTTTCCTTAGGTTTGGAGGTATTTGATATACCAACTTGTGTTTAGGTTGCTATTGCAAATATCAGACAAATAAACCGATTTTCAGCAGACTTCAATTTGCCGCCTCTAAGTCTTTGTGCACCCCCAGCCACCCTGTGTCTGCACCATGAAGTCTCTCCTACTAGGGACCTGGCTTTCCCTTCTCTGCTCAGTTTCCCCTTAGGAGGACTCCTTGCCATCAGCATGTCTTTTTACATCTTTAAAAATCCACATGCCTTTAACTGAGTGAGCAGGTGTTATGAGTTGACCCCCTGCTGTGTCAGGTCCTTGAAAGATGAAACCCCTTTTCTCAAGTTTATACTACAGTGGGGATGATAAAAACAACTATTTAAATTACAACTGTGCTTAGTACTTTTGGAGCCTTCTCTGGGGATGGGACATTTCAGCTGAAACTTGAAGGATGAGGAGAAACTGGCTCCACCAGGAGGGGAGGCCCCAGAGTCAGTGGGGAGCAACTCCCTGCAACGTGCAATACGGCTGCGGCTTGAGAAGCCAAAGGGAGAGGGTGCAGATAACGTGGGAGAGGCAGACGGGCCCGATCTGCTGAAGACCCACGAGCTCATTACCAGGGAACAGTGCACGGTAAGGAGTCATAAGTGCCTAGGCTTGCATTTTACAATCTTTAAGATCACACCAGCTCTTCCAAGAACAGAGGGGGGCAAGTATGAACGTAGGGAAGTCAACTCTTCCAGCCCAGCTGAGTCACTGCCTCCACCTCTCCAGCCCACCCTCTACACCTCTCCTGACTTTCTAGGTTCTGCTCTGCCCCTTCAAGAAAGAGCTCTCCCACTGGGTGCCAGCAACCTCTACTTGCCAAATCCAACGGGCCCACTTTGGTCCTTCTCTTACTGGCCTTTTAGCTACATGTGGCCACATGTTCTGCTTTATATTTCCTGGAAAGTCTCCTTGCAGGCTTTTTCCAGTGCCCAGACACATAGCTAGAGGGGAACAAGGAAAGCAACTGCTTCTCCTAAACTATTCCAAACAGGGTGCTCTTTGACCAGTATTTAAGGTAATATACTGTTTCAGCCAGAAAAGCCAGAGTTTCGTGCAAACAAAACAGAAATCTGCCAAGCGACGGCCTGGGGTGATTCTGAGGCACTCTTCCCTGCAGCTCGTCACCCCTCAGCAGCCTCCTAGCCCCTCGCCCCCCTGCACAAGTTGGCCATTCCAAGTTTGTTCCTTCAGAGCAAGCTCAGGCCCTTACTCTACAGGTCCTTGAGAAACTCCTACCCCCCGACAGGGCTTTAACTTACATCTCTACAGCCAGTTAGTCCTCAATTCATCTCCACCCCAGATAGCACCTTTCAGCTCCAGACCTAACCACCTGTCATCTCCACCAGGATGTCCCAAAGGCATCTCAAGGTCTAAAGCAATCCTTATCCCTAAGCCTGGTCTCTTGTATTGCCTATATAAGCCGAGAGTGCCCTATCCACACAGATGCCAAAGCCCGAAACCTCTGAATCACCATCCTGGATGCCCACACGAACTCTGACCCCCTTACTGACCCCTGTTGACTGTACCTCTGGAAACTTTTGACTCCATCCACTTTCCTCCACCTCCTCTACCACCACCTTTGTAAAGACCACCATTTTCTCCTATGTAACTGGCTTCCCTGCTTCCAGTCTTGCCCCTTTTGAACCACATTCTCAGGCAAGCAGATCTGATTTGATCCCACTATTTCACAGCATAAAAGCCTTTGTGGCATCCACTGCCATCAGAATAAAGTCCAGATTCCTTAACCTGGCCTTCCACACTCTGGAGGACTGGCCTCTCCTCCTGTGTCAACCTCATCTCTCCGCTTAGCCAAGCTGCCACCTCTCACTTCCAGGCCTGGGCACCTCTCTCCCTGTCCAGGACACCTTGATCAGCTAACGACTCGTGGATCTCTCCATGAAGTTTCACGTGCGGTGGTTCTACACCAGCACACTGCATTTTCCTCATTGCATTTTAAACACCCGTTTTCTCTTCTGCATTCTTCATAAGGTTATAAACTCTGTGAGGGGAGAGGCTGTCTTATCTCCCCTACTTTTTTTAGTACCTTGAATGGGCAGATTTTTTTTTAAGTTCTAAAAGGGCAACTTTCTATATTTCTGTAGAAATCTGCCGGTAAAAAAAACCACACACACCAACTTAAGGGTACTCAAAGGAGAACACATGATTCTGTCAATAACGTACGCTAATAAATCTTTTGCTTTTTTGGTGATAATGGGTTAACAGAAACTCTCTGCTCTTAGGAAGACTCTTAAGAAATAACTTAGGTGGTCTTTGATAAGCAGAACCATTATCAGTACCTCTCATCTGAGAGGGTTACTAGCCGAGCCAATCAGACACAGTGATTAAAGATTGCCAGAGCACCCTCTTCAAGAAAAGTGTCAAAATCAAGAGCGTTAAGATATTTGAAGCTCAGAACCCTTTTTACCATAGACCAAATACAAAACAGTTCTAGTCTTAGGCCAAACCATAAAAGCCAACTTAAGCCACAGTGTAGCTCATTCTGCTAATGGTCTTGCCCCCTACAGAGAACAAAAGGAAAGGCCCACAGAGGCCGGGACAGCTGCCATGACAAACACCCGAGTGGAAACAGGAAAGGAAAGAGTGACCAGCGAAGGAAAGGTGGGGCCTCTGGGACTGGGCACTTGTAGGTGCAGGTGAATTCGGTCAATTTCTCAAAGCCAGAGGACACTGAATAGACCCACCCCCATTTGAAAATGTTTCACGTGTTAAACTGAAAATGACTTAAACAAAAAGGAACATGCCACATCTAGACCTAGACCTGGGCTGGCCAGTTAGCTCAGATGGCTAGAGTGCAGTGTCGATAACACCAAGGTCAAGGGTTCAGATTTCCTTGCCAGCCTCCAAAAAAAAAAAAAAGAGAAAAACCTAGGCAAATTATACGTTTTTCCTTCCTACTTTTTGAATAACGTCACCAGCAATGTGTAGCCATTAGAAGTGCCAAAAGTGGGGCCAGCCCGTGGCTCACTCAATGGAGAACTTGTGCGCTGAAACGACGATGTAGCACTGATGAAGTAACTTAACAAGAAAAGCTTATGACTCTCGGACGTGCTAAGCCATTAAAAAGAAGTCTTTAATATCGAACCTTTCACTTCTCAAAGGCAGATGACTTTTTAAAATACCTCATACTTCTCCCATAAATTTGTTTTTACACTTTTTTTTACCCCAAGCTATTCAGCATTTTACACAGCAAAAGGGGAGGGGAGAGACAGACAGAAGAACAGATTTTAGAAATTTTAAGTCAAGAAAATCTCGGGCTGGCCGGTTAGCTCAGTTGGTTAGAGTGCAGCCTTGTAACACCAAGGTCAAGGGTTTGGTTCCCTATACCAGCCAGCCACAAAAAAAGAGGAAAAAAGAATAAAAATAGCTTTTTAAAAAAGAAAATATAAGTCTCAAGGAAAAATGGCAAGCTCTACTTAATTTACTTTTTGCTGTTGAACCTCTTTTGGACAATTTTTGTTCAGTGATTTTTTTTTTTCCTGTAGAAATACTTATGTATCTTATTGGGGAAAAAAAGTGCAATTCTACAATAACTTAAGACCATTTATTTTCCCCACAATGTACTTACCTTAGATTCCTTTTTGTGTCCTCCTGCCAATAACTTCATAACCACAAAGTTGGGTTTGGCAACTTTTAAAATTCTATTGACCTAAAACGTGAACATTAAGCTATCAAAACATAAAACTTACAGCAAAAATGTATATTATAAATACTAATATGAACTTTGCATATGGAAGTGTTGATATTTTTTAAATAAAGGCCATTAAAATTATAAACAAACATTATATTTGCTTTAGCAACACTTTACAACTCCATTTTAGTCAACTCTGAAAACCTGAAAAGGCTACCGTGTCTTGCTTTCATGAAAACAAAAGAACATCCAGCTGCAAAGTCCTGCAAAGGCAGCACAGTACTACATAGCGCTGGAGCATGGACTTTGGAGTTAACGCTGTATGTTTTCAAATTCCAGCTTTGCCACTTACTTCACTTCTAGCCGTGAAGCCCCTGGCAAGTTCTCTAATCTCTCTGTTTCTCAGTTTCTTCATCTGTAAATATGGAGATGATAACTTTATCTACCCTGCAAATATCTGCTGTGAGGATTAAATGAGTTAAAATATACACAGTTCACCCCCGAGTAACACGCGTTTGAACTGCATAAGCCCACATGTAAATTTTTTCAATAAATATACAGTACAGGACTGTAAGTGTATTTTCTCTTATGATTTTCTTAACATCTTTTCTCTAACTTAGTAGAGTATATAATATATATGACATACAAAATATACGTTCATCAAGTGTTTAGTTTTCCAGTCAGCAGTAGGCTATTAGTAGTTAAGTTTCTGGAGAGTCCAAAGTTATATGCGGATTTTTGACTATGCAGGGGGGTCGGCACCTCTAACACGTGTGTTGTTCAAGGGTCATCTGTATTAAGAGCTTAGAACCATGCCTGGCAGGTAGCATGTCCTTTGAGTTTCAACTGTTATTATTTCTGACTACTGCTTGTCTGAAAGGCTTCATTTGAATACGTAAGTAACAACTGAAATGGAATACTATATTTCTCTTAGAGAGTAATTCCATTTGAAGGAAAAAAGGTCCCACTGACCTCTCTCTGGAAACACACATTACCACAAGTCCAGATTAGACATCCACCTGCCGAGGTGACAGCTCCGTTTGGACATCTAATAGGCACCTCAAATTCAGCAAGTCCAAAACTGAGCTCCTGCCCTTCCTGGCCACCCGTTCCTGTTTCACTGGCAGTCTTACCCACGTGAATCAACTCATCCAGCTGCTCAGGCCAAAAACCTGGAAGTCATCTTGACTCTCTTCCTCTCACATCCCACATCTGACCTATCAGTCAGTCCAGATAGCCTGATCTTAAAATAGAGAACATGACCACTTCTGATTACCTCCACTACCATCGCCGTCTGCTACTGCTATGGCCTCCTCCCTGACTGGCTCCCCTGAGTCCACCCTGGACCGCACTACAGTCAAATTCAGCACAGTGCCAGAGTGATCCTTAAAAACATAGATCAGATTTGGTCATTCCTCTGCTCAAAACCCTCCAACAGCTCACCCCCTTGTTCACCCCACTGAAGCCACACCAGTCCCTGGCTGTCCTTTAATTACTCCAGGTACACTCCTGCCTGAGCGCCTTTGCGTATGCGGGTCCCTCTGCCTAGAGGGCTCCATCCCTGAATATCCATGTGACTTGCCCTGTTTAACCTCTATGATTTGCTCAAAGGCTACCTTCTTTTAAAATGCCTAATCCCGGGCCGGCCCGGTGGCGCACTGCTACAGTGCGCCACTTGGGAGTGCGGCGGTGCTCCCGCCGAGGGTTCGGATCCCACATACAGACCGGCCGCTCACTGGCTGAGCGAGGTGCGGGCGCAGCACCAGGGTTGCTATCCCGTTGCCGGTCCCAGTCCGGTGCGGGCGCGACACTGAGGGTTGCGATCCGTTGCCGGACACGAAAAAAGACAAAAAGGAAAAAAAAAATAAAAAAATAAAATAAATAAATAAAATGCCTAATCCCCTCCACTACCTACCTCCTTTAGCATTTCCTATTCCCATTCTTGGCTTGATCTTTCTTCAATGTACCACGACCTTCTAATATACGACATAATTGCCTATTTATTTACTGCCTGTAACCCAGCACCCCTCCCTCATCCACATGAAGGCTGGATTATTTTCTGTTTGTTTTCTGCTGGGGACACAGTAGGCGCTCAATAGATCTGTTGACTAAGTGAATGACATTTCCACTAAATGAAATAGGCTTTTTTTTTTGGTAGCTATATGGTATAGGGATCAAACCCTGGACCCTGATGTTATCAGCATATGCTCTAACCAACTGAACCAACTGGCCAGCCCCCAAAATATGCCTACCTCAAATTTTTGTACTCCCCCTTTTAATTTTTATTAGATGATATATATGATTTAAAAAAAAAAAAAAGACCTTCTCCCCTATTCCTCTTTCCCAAGGCTTTCAAGCTCCCATCCCAAGAAGCAAACACCATTGTTCTTAAGTATCTTTCCGGAGATATTTTATACTCATATGAGAAAGTACATGCACATTGATAGAGTCATCCTTGCCCCTTTTTGACTGAAACAGCAGCATACCATACAGCTCTGCACCCTGCTTTCTAAACTTCTTACATCCTGAAGAACATTTCATGACAGTACATAAAGATCTTCTTCATCCATTTCAAGGCTGCGTGGTATTCCACTGGATGGACGTGTCATAATTTATCAGTCCCCCACTGATGGACACTAAAACTTCTTCCGTTTGTTTCCTATCAGAAATCCTACTGCAACGAATACTATTCTACATTCATCTCTCCCCTCACTTCCTACATGTGCACAAGTATCTGTAAGTTAAGTCGTATATCTAGGAGATAAATCCCAACAAGCAGAATTGATGGGTCTAAGCATTTGTGAGTTTTGACAGATACTGCTAAACTACCTAGCCCTCCATGAAAGATGTACCTAAATACTCCCCAAAATAGTATATATGTGATACAGGTAACTCTTATTTACAGAATAAATGTATTTCAATAAAACTAGGGATACAGCAAATTATTAAAATACTAAGGGCCTGCGACTTAGTATTTTATTTGCAAAGTTTATTTTGATATCTCAAAATAAAGTCTTCAAAAGCAATAGCCTTTACTTTAAATGGCCAAGTAGAAAAAGGTTGTTCCTGTGATAATTGGCCAGATCATTTTTCATATTTAAGACTTATACATTTATATTTTAATATAGTGAACTATAGATTAAATTAGAAAACTTTAAATGTTAACATTTTGAGCTATGGATCTGTCTGGATTTTATTCTATCCTTCCTACTTTATGGTTCTGAGTCTTAATTTATCTTTGCCTTGATTTTTAAATTTGCACAAAGGAGATACTTACATCACCTCTTTCTTAAAATACTTTTAAGCCTGACAGGGTTAGATTGGCAAAGCTATTTGAAATCCTTGGCAGAAACATGATAGGCTCTATTTATTAATCCTATAAAGTTCATTTTTGTAATTAACTTTCACTCAGTAGTAAGATCTGGACTTCCTGCCAAGATTTCCCCCTGGAATTACGATGTACTCAGTCTCACCTCATGGTCCGGGTTTGGGATATTTTCCAATATCATTTTTGCCTGCTGAAAGTGCTTACTAGCTGCCACATACAGTTCTGGAGACTGAGGAGGAGGGCTGTATTTATTGAGGTCAGACATTTCCTAAAAAGAAAGGGGAAACACATTCAAAACATGTTTAATATCAAAAACTCCAAAATACCTTTTTAATTATGAAAGAATTCTACATTGACCATCAATTCATATACAGACACTGAGGCACAGACTCGGCACATCTCTATTTTCTCCTAGGTAATGTCCAATTCTCAGCCCTCATATACCACCTCATATTATTCCCATTACTTAAATAACTGCTAATGCGATGAGTGTATCCAACAAAGTCAAATTGCTTTCACACTGCTTGAAATTGCTGTTTTTATCACAAAAGAATTCTACATTGACCATCAATTCATATACAGACACTGAAGCACAGACTCGGCACATCTCTATTTTTTCCTAGGTAATGTCCAATTCTCAGCCCTCATATACCACCTCATATTATTCCCATTACTTAAATAACTGCTAATGTGATGAGTGTATCCAACAAAGTCAAATTGCTTTCACACTGCTTGAAATTGCTGTTTTTATCACCGGTCCCACTGCCCCACTAGGTATGATGTGGCTGGTATAAACGCGGCCTCTAAGGCCTGAGACGGAAGACTGTACAATGGTTTCCCTGAGGGGCCCACCTTGAACTGCAGGTAGTGCACCGGCGGCGGGGTCATCACACTGTTGAACGGAGCGAACCTGTGCTCGTACCGAACTTGTTCACTATCAAGCTCGAACTTGGGTTTGCGCACTTTGCCATCCATGTCAAATGCTACCATGGTCTGAAAAGAAAAGGGGGAAATGAGAAAAAGATAAAATTAATATTAAAAAGTAACATCTTAATACAGAATTGAAAACAAGAAAAAGCTATTTATATATAACTGACACAAGTCATGGCTCAGAAATCAGAAATAGCTGAAAAGAAAAACTGGATTCTCAGTATTAATTTTTATTTTATGTGCCATGTTTTGTACAACAAATTTTTAAGTTGCAGTGTTCAATATATTACTATTTTTCCCAGTGAAATTATACCACATGTACATTATTCTACGATGCCTCATGCTTTTAAAATAGCTTTGAAACCTTCAAGTAAAAGTTTCTAAAGAAATACATGACATATAACTTTCATAAGCACGGGTCCTGCTTTTCAAACAAAAGTCCATGTTCTGCTTTACGTATTTTAATATAAGTTGCATCAAATCATTTCTTGAATTGCCAAGTACACTTTTAACTTGTACTATCTCCTAAAAGTGACTGCTTTAGCTCAAGCCATTCATTGTGGAACCTAATGCCTTCCTAATATACGTCTAAAAAAACCCAAACTCCATGTCTTCCATGAAACCTTTCTTGATCATCAGGCAGAAGTAATTTCTTCCTTCTCTTACTACCTGTGTCACACATATGTCAACTGACCTGTTATTAACTCCTAGTTATTAACTGCCTGTCATTAGCTCCTTGAAACAAGGAACGCATTGATTAGAACTGGTATCCTACCATGTATTCAATACAAAGCATCTGACACACAGCAAGAGTTCAAATATTTGTTGAACAAAATTAATGAAAACAACTAGCCTTTGAAAAAAGGTAATCTTCAAGCAAATGGGAAGTAAACCAAAGGTGAAATTAGAACCCGGAAAGAATCACAGAAAAGAGTTCATTTTAAATAAACTATATAATAGCAATATAGTTAAAAGCTAAAAGAACTTCAACAACTTACTTTAAACATTCCGGCACACATGTTCTGATACGCCTGGCTCATCGTGATCTCTCGGCTCAATGGACGAACTGTAATTAGAAAGAAAATCTTCCATATTCCTTTTCCCCTCCCCCTCTTGCAAGAGAAATTCTAATTTTAAAAAATCTTCCAGCTTGTTTCCCAAATTAAAACTTCAATTCATTCCTATAGGATAAATTTTCTTTTACAGCCAAAATTTACAAATAATTAAATACAACTGAAAAGCTAAACAATAATCTTGTCCCCCAAAGAAATAATACCATAAAATTCTAGTATGAAGTAATTTTATTTTTTTCTTAATTGACCATACAGAGATTTAAGCTCTTTTATAGGAAACTACAAATACACAGTCATTTCACGGTCCACCCAAACTGTTTAAATCCTACATGTACACAAAGTAATACTTTATAATGATTGTAACAATATCTATATCCTTCCCTAAAAGTGACCGGCAGGGCAGTCCTCATGGCTCCTGGACGATGCCCTGCGGTGCTGTGCGATCACCTCTGTGCCCACTAATTTAGCAGCACAGAACTACTTCCCTCTGGAGCTGCCAGGCTCTGCCACAAGATCAACGGTCTCCTGCTGCCTTGTCCCCTCACCTATTTTGCTTTTATACCCTTTGTGGCTATTTCTTGATCTCAGATCGTCTAATACATGAAATAGCAAAAAAATAAAAGAAAAGCAAAGAAAGGAACCAAAAAGACTTACGGCACTAATATTCGGACTCAGTCTCTACCTTATAATTTCTGAAGAGATGATGGATAACTAAACATAATGACTAATTTCACCCATTACGACTCATGAGTGACACAGCTCTCCACCTACTTATCTGTAGAAACTAAAGTGTACTCCACTGTTCTTGACTTCTAAGTTTAAAAATAATCCACAGCACCTTTCTTTTTTTTCTTTGTTTTCTTACTGCTGCGGCCTTTCTGCTGCTCTTCCACTATCCTCTCCTCTGCCATTTGAGAGCCATCAGCACGACTCAATGTTGACATCAACCAGGCATAAAGGAATTCAGAGAGATACCTTAAAGGATACAAAATATTTCTTAATGGTAGATGTCTAAATGAGATAGCTTTATCAACACATGCATTAATAATAATATATTTTTTATAGTGCTTCAAGTTTTTTAAAAATCAGATTATCAGATCTTACAAGAAATGAGCGTTACAAGTGATTAACTTTCCCTTTTTACACTTTACAACTTATCAAAAGACTTCTTGATAATTACATAAACATGTAAATGAATGCCCATTAAATTGTTTTTACTACATCAGGACACACTTCACCTAAGTCTATTAAGTAAATATGTTCTTTGCCTGTTAATCACAAAACAAAGCGAATAAACTCAGAAAAAGATTTTTAAAAATTATTGGCATTATACAAAACCATTCTAAAAGATTTAGAACATTCAGGCTTATCATTTACTTGAGTTTATTCAATAAATAAAATGTAAAACAGAATATTCTACCAAATACTAATTTTTCAGAAGTTTAAACAACATTACATTCTGGTAAGCCAGGAAAGTAGTTCAAGTCTAGAATACAAATATATATACTTTGTAATATAATCCATAATAAATAAAATTAAAGAGCACCAGCATACTAAGTGAAAATCAAAGATCTGCAAGAGATTTTATGATCAAGTTTGAGTATATTAACACCTATTCCCAAAATTTCCCGAAAAGATTAAGGTAGGTTATAATATCAAAACACACATAAAACAGAACATTTTAAAGCAAAACAAAAACTAGTCAAAAGATATACTTGGGGCCGGCCCGGTGGTGCACTTGGTTGAGTGCGGCACTTGGGAGCGCGGAGGCGCTCCCGCCGAGGGTTGGGATCCCATATAGAGACCGGTCCGCTCACTGGCTGAGCGCAGTGCGGGCGCGACACCGAGGGGGTTGCGATCCCGTTGCCAGTCGCGGTACGGGCGCAACACTGAGGGTTGCGATCCCGTTACCGGTCACGAAAAAAGACAAAAAGGAAAAAAAAAAAAAGATATACTTGTAAAGAATTTTTTTAAAAAGGAAAAAAAAGATATACTTGGAATGTCTCAGGAATTATATTTCAAAGCTAAACTGAGTACTACATATTTCCTTGCAGCTAAGGAAAAAGGAAAATACATTTTTATCTGATGAAAGAAAGCATACAATTTCATATGGACAGAAAATAATTCCTGGCACTGAATTTAAGAAAAGCATTTATTACAGTATCCTTATAAGATACAACTGAATTTTGTTTCTCTAACACACTACAGAATCTGAGGGTCTATAACCTATGTCTTAACTCAGTGAAGGATTTCTATAGGGAACTAATGGTGCCTTCTACCTTCTGACTAAAGTAAGGACAGATAAGTAAAGGGAACAGCTGACAGAATTCAGGTATTTCCTCTCAAATATCAAGTACCTCAATGAGCTTTTATTAAGTGTTTTATCAAAATTAATATACAATTATATCTAAGGAGAGCCAGAGTGCTAATATTCTGTATCAGTGGTTCTCGAATTGCCACCTCTGGGCCAGGAGCAGTGTCACTACCACTTGGGAACTAGTCAGAAATACAAATGATTGAGTCCCATGCTAGACCTAATAAACCAGGAACTCTAGGTACCGAGCCTAGAAATTTGTGTAATAATGCATTTTCCAAGTGATTAAGATGCACATTAAAGTTTAAGGATCACAGTTTCTGCTGCTGATTTTAAAAGGGTCCACTTGCTTTCGGGATCATATTAATGAACAATAAAAAAAAAAAAAAAAAAGATTATCTTGTGAAAATGCAGGAGCCCAATCTATAATTTTAAAATCAAACAGCAGTTCAAAACTAATACAAAGACCACAAAAATACTTATAGCCAGAACTAAAGTTTCTTTCGTTAACAAGAAACGAAATGAATTTGCTTATGTATGCAGGTAAATTTCTAATGAAGTATTTATCTGAATATCATTCATTTGCTAATTTAAAATCCCAATTTATTTCACAAAAAAAAACCATATAAAAACTGTATCTTGGGCCGGCCCGGTGGCGCACTGGATAGTGTGCCGCTTGGGAAGCGCGGCGGCGCTCCCGCCCGAGGGTTCGAATCCCACATACAGACCGGTTCCCGCTCACTGGCTGAGCGAGGCGCGGGAGCAACGCCGAGGGTTGCGATCCCGTTGCCGGTCCCCGGTCTGGTGCGGGGGCAACACTGAGGGTTGCGATCCGTTGCCAGACACGGAAAAAGACAAAAAAGACAAAAAAAAAAAAAACTGTATCTTAACCTGAGAAATCAAGAGCAAAAGTTTCCAATTAGCTGCTTCAAACCAGAAAAAAAAAAGAACGTAGGTATGTTTCCCCATAAAATGAACAGGAGTGTCTTCTATGAGTTAGTTAATAACAAAATGTATTTCAAATATTTATGAACACCTGTTGATAAAGGTTATTTGGTATCATCTATATAAATGTTGCAGAATATGCCAAATATAATAATTATTCTCACATTACTATAGTCGATGCTCAAATTCAATTTTCATAGCCAAGAATTATCTGTTAAGAACCCTCAATGCTCATGATAAAAAAAAAACATGTCAAAAACCATGTCAACAGCATGGAAGAGAATCACTTCCTTTCCTCAATGCAGTGACTCCAGAAAATATCCAATATTGCAATTAATAAGTTAAATAAATTTAAACATTAATTTATAAAAGGCTAACTATATGAAAGTCTAATATACTAAACTTAGGTGTTTGTAACGGGCAACATAGGTCATTATTAGTTTAAAATTACTACCATGCTTTGCCATACTAAGAAATAGATTCAAGATAACTGAATTCATTAACACTTAATTTTCCTAACTTATTTTCTATGACAGCTTTTCTATATCTAAAATATTCTCAAACACCTTCTTACTAGGTTTCTTTATCTCACCCACAAGAGAAAGGGAAGAGCTACATTGCTGAAGATCATCTCTTGTGAACTCCAAAGCTCCCCAGGCAAATCCTCAATACCACAATCTGAAACAGTTATGCTCCCAGTGATTATTTGGACCACAATTTCTTCTCAGGAAGAGAAAGATCTGGTTCCAATTTGAACTTTAACTCCATTAAGTACATCCACAATTAGTATCTAGTGCCACTAAAGTCAGGGCGAAACGTGTTAATTTTTCTCCAAAGGAGCAAATAAGATCTTCAAATAACCCATTTACATTGAAGCCACATTTATTAGTAATTTTTACATATCTGGATGGCTGGAAAAATATATTTGTACAATGTTATGGGACTTAAAGATTTTCCAGATGATCTAGCTCTAATTTTCAATAGATATTTTTCCAACAGTCACACAAATGAAGTTAAAATACACTAAATGAAAAAGTGCCCTAAAACGACACTCTGTTTTACAGACGGTCTCTCATATCTTATCCACTCTACCCACCACCGATTTCTAACTCGCACTGTTCTCTTACCAATATATGTAATAGTACTCGTGCATGCTGTACAGTTCCAATTCAAAACCGCTTAGAAGATACTGTATCATAATTCGAAGGTTATGGTACAGGACCCAGGTGCCCAAACAGGCCAGGTGCTGCCTCTGCGGCTCCTGTTTCAACAGCATAGTGTGAAGTGCGGCATCAACCTTCTCTGCCTATCAAAATAAAATGTTACAACACTGATTTTTTTTTTTCAGTTAATGAAAGAACTTTTTTAAAAAAAAAAACCAGCTAAAAACGGTACATGAACAGAAAATTCTAATCTCATCACCAAAGAACTCATATTTTCAAATCCATTTTTGGTTAGGTTTGCATTCAACGTTCTCATTTCACAAAGGTTAACATTTATCTAAATGCTCTGTAAACTAAAAAGACATCCATTTTAAAGGACAAAAACAAGAATAAATGACTTCAGGTCTTTTTTTATACTATCAATACTGCTGCCGTTCACAAATTAACATTAAAATTAATGTATTGTTATTATAATGTAAACTTGTTATAAAACCATAGTTCTGTACATATTTCATAATTTATCCTAATTATCAAAGAAACAGTTTAAGATGTTTATCAGCCTGGATTATTTTTGTTTCTTTTTGTAAACTCTTTCATTGGTATATGAAACTGTTACATTTTAAGTGAAAAGTAAGCTCATCATCTTGAAAAATTAAAAAGTCAAAATGCTGCTTCAAAGAATTGTTTTAAAAATCTGGACAGAAGTGTGTGAATTATTTAACTTTAGAAGGGAGGGGAACCTGGCTCTTACCTCGTCCTGCAAGGTAGCAAATTCCTCAAGAATATGACCGAGCTTATCTCTCTGTCGAGCCCTGTTATGCCCATGGATCTGAATAAGACTACAGAATGGCTGCAATACATATACAATGTGTTAACTGCCAATATCAAATTCCTTAATACTATAGAAACTTAACATTCTAAGTTCTCAAAATCTGGTTTAACAGGGAAAAAAAAAGCTGTACATTTAAGAATCATGCCTATATATATTTTTTACATAGGTATTTGTTTTTAAGGAACTCAACATTAGAATTTATCAATAATTAGAAAAAAGTGGCTGTTAAGAAAGTTGTTTTCACATGGCAAAAATATCTTCCTTTAATCTTTAGATGTTTTCCTGCAATTCTAAGATGACAGTTTCTTTTCTGCTTATATTAAGTCAAAAGCCAATGTTCAAGGCTGACATTTCTGTGCTACTTAAATACACCAGAATGCCTAATAAGCCCATTGCCTGAGTAATGGCTAATACCTATATACTCTGACTAAGGTTCTTTTATTCCTACTCTCTCTATACAGTATTCTCATACCAAATCCCATAACATCTCACTAATAAGACAAAATACACGGATGGCAGGATGCTCTAAGAAGTATGAATTAGATTCTTGGGGGCTGGCCAGTTAGTTAGCTCAGCTGGTTAGAGAAAGGTGTTATAACACCAAAGACAAAGGTGTAGATCCTTGTACCAGCCGGCCACCAAAAATAAAAATTAAAAAAAAAGATTCTTGAAGTATAATATTGTTTTATATTTGTATACTTTGACAGATATTATCACATTTGATCAATAAGTACCCTAAAAGAGGTACAGAGAAGGTATATTTGCATTTCACTCTTTAAATAGTAAGAGGTTTATAGAAAGGTGAAGTGATATGCCTGATGATGATAAAACGTTAGTGATAAAAATGAAATCTGGTCTTCTGTTGATTCTTTCACCATACCATGCTACCTTCCTATATATATTTAGTAACTGGAATTATGCCCAAAAGAGTTGCCTGGTTGAGTTCTCTAATAGAAATGTTCATATAATCAAATAAGAATGAGTTATGATTAATTTAATACACTACAAGGCTTGCATTTTTTAATTACTTGAGACTTGAAAAAAGTTTGTGATCTCATCTAAATTAATAATTTTAATTTTATTAGAATCCTGTTCACTAAGGTAGTACAAAGATAACCATACAGGGATGTTACAAATTCCTTCTTTATAAGGTCAAAAAAAAAAGTAAAGTTTTTATGTGCAATTACAAAAAAATTTGAGGAAATAACTGCAGTTTTCTCAGCTGGGGTCATGACTTCCCATTCCTAGAGTCCCCACAGGCTGTAGTGACAGTTCATCAAAAGACAACACTGTATCTAACAACCTGTCAGGTTATAAAGCCATCCACGCAAGTGTTAAGAGGAGACAGAATTTTTTTATTTATTCAGGGAAAGTGAATAAGGAATATTAGATTTAAAAATGCATAAATTAATGATATTGAAGGAATTACATCCCACAATTTTTAATTACACACTACCATAATAATGCAAATTGTAGGTCTTACCCGAACACAGTGAGTAACAAAGGAGTCAATACAGTCCTTAGCCTGGTGATTATTATACAGGCAGCACCTGTAAGACAATATTCACATCATGAAGATCAAACTATTTGGACTAGACAAAAGAAACAGTGGTTACTGTAGAGGCCACCAACAGAGCGTAATTTTAGAAGAGAGGGGAACTGAGTAGAGAAGGTGGAGAAAGGAGAAACCGGAACCGAATCCATTCCTGAGCTGAAGATTGCTAGCATTAGATTAAGAAATAGTTCACTATACTGCGTTGTTCACACAATAAATGTGTGGTATTCTCAATTCCTTTGGATCTAGTAAGATCAAATCAGCAAGGAGAAAAAGGAAAAGTCCAAAGCCCCACTCTTTCACGACCCTATTTCAACATCATGTTTTCCTACAACTGATATCCTCACGGATTGTACTCATAATAGTAATTACTTGTATTCACAATAGTAATTACAAAGAAAATACTATGTAAAATTCTAATTTTTTTCAAGATCTATCCCCATTTCCAACCACTGGCTATAAATCATCATCTCTACATCCTTCTGACACCTCATTTTCTCTCCTCATACAGTGGTTTCCTTACGGTGCTCCTCATTTCAGCTAATAGCAGCACTTCTTGAATAGCACCTTCCTGAGCAGTCTGGGAGGACCTGCTATCTTCCTGGCCCTGGGGGAGCTACAACAGCTAAAAGATAGGAAGATTTTTTTTCTGTCCTTGCTGTGGAAGATCAGTAGCCTTTGCACCAAAGGCAAAGGGAAAAAGCAGAGAGACTTTCCTCCTGGTGCCTTGATAGGAGCTGACAACTTGCTGCTCATAAGTGTTTGTCACAGCTGAGCAATCTAACAAGAGCCTCAGAGATAAACCATGTCCATGCAGCAGAAAATGGTAGTGCACCCAGTAGACAGGAGAAAGAAAAAGCAGAACACCTGAAACAGGCAGCTGGTAAATCAGAATTGCTGGAAGGTTCATTACATCTTTAACCTCCAGGTAAAAAAATTATGTAAGGAGACTTTTAAAACAAAGCACTTAAAAAAACTTGCTGGATTTAAAAATACTGATTTTCAAATTTAAAAATATAATAAATGAAAGGAAGATGTTTGCTAGTAGCCTTGAAGATCGAGAGGAAGAATTTTCTAGCAACACAGTAAAACAGATGAACATCACGAGGAATACGCAGGTGTGACCTAAACCTAGTACTCCAGGAACTCCAAAAAAAGAGAAAAAACAAAACAATTAAGGTGAGACAACAGTTAAATAAATAAATAACAACAGGAAAAATTATCTGATTAGAAGACTTGAGACTTTAATGACTGAGCTCCAGATAGGACTGGTTGAAAATCACACATGAATATTCTGGTAAAACTTCTGAACTCCTAAAATAAACAGAAACCCTAGAATGCCCCAGAAAAAAGTTTCAAATCACTTACAAAGGAAAAAAGAATCAGATCAGCCTCAGATTTCTTATCTATAACACTGGAGTTTTAAAAACAGTGGAATAATGGCTAAAGTCTATCACACAATGAACTTTGTCATATTACAGCTGACTCACTATTTGAGGTAGTTATGTTCTGTAAAGTTGCTGAGGACACTGCATTAGAATCTACTAAACCTCTGCTCCCAGGGAAAATAGAAGGTTAGGTTCCTCTAAACCTAGGGTCACATTTTCATGGATTAATCAATACATAACCTTGTTTTATGTATATTTCTGTTCAAAGATACCTTATTTAATGTTTGTTGTTAATTCACTGACATTGAATTCACAGTCCATCAACACCCTAACTCATGGCTGAAGAAAGCTTATTTAATATATGCATTTTCTCCATTAGGCACATCACAGCCTTCTTGTGCAAAGATTAGCATACCACTATGTTTGGAGGCCATTTTAAATGGTGAAATCAGCACAAAAATCATAAGAATGTGGAAAACATGGCTCTAAATAAAGTTGTTTACAGTAAGAAGGCTGAAATAAACAGACAGAGTTGTCTCGTTGGACCTCAGCATTCACTGCTCTGCATGTGTGCATTCTGCACATATCTGCAAAGACAGCAAAAGCAGAAAAAGTATTTGGGGGGTTACAAATAAACTTAAGCAAGTAAGAAAATTTGTAAATACAGAATCTCCAAATAATGAGGATTGACTACAGTTAAACCTAAATAGACAATAATCAAAGTGACAATGTATAATCTAAATGCTAAAGGAAGACTGTTAAATAGAAAAGGCAAAATGTAAATTAAGAGGATTTAAACACTATTTCACATACACCAGATTGCCACAATTTAAAAGTTTCCCAGGGGCTGGCCCGTTAGCTCAGTTGGCTAGAGCATGGTACCAGTAACACCAAAGTCCAGAGTTCAATCCCTGTACCAGCCAGCCGCCAAAAAAAAGTGGTGAGGAGTGGAGGTCTAGACTGTGGGCAAATGGGAATTCTTATACAATGCTAGCTGGCAGACAAATTGGTTCAATTATTTTGGAAAACAACTTGGCAAGACTAGTCAAGTTGAAAATGTACATGCCCTATGATCCAGAATCCTACTTCTAAGTACATATCCTACATGCATAAGAAGACATATTCAAAGATGTTCGTTATAGCACCAATTTTAATAGAGATAAATTAGAAACAACTTAAACATCCAACTGCAGAGAAATAGCAAAATAAACTGCAGTGTATTCAAAGGGTGGGTTTTAACGAATTAAATAGGTTTGCATGGGTCAACCTGGGTAGGTATCAAAATAATCATGTTGCAGAAGGATAAATATACACTTTGACAAAATTTATGTAAAACTTAAAACACATAAAACACACTGTTGCACTGTTACGACACACATATTTGGTGAAAGTGTACCAGCACTCATAGAAGTGATGCACATGAACTGCAATGCTGTGGTTACCTCTGAGACCAGAGTGACAGGAAAGGACGGGGTGAGGACTGAAGTTTACAGTCAGCAGTTAAAGTGTGGTCTCAGCTCCCCTGGTGGTGACAGAAGTATCCCTGAGACACTTTCGAGGGAACACAAAGTCATGAATATAGTAAGACCATATTTGCCTTTTGTACTCATTCTCACAAGTGTACAGTGGATGTTTCCAGAGGCCACAGGGCATGTGATACCACATCAGACTGAAGGCAGAAGCAGGCAAGATCATACAGCTATTTTCTTGTGAGAAAGACATGAGAGATTTGCAAAAATGTAAAACAAAAAAAATCCACTTTCTCACTAATTTTTCTTAGAAATATATAGTTATTTTCCATAAAAATGTTATTTATGTTAACATGTAATGGATTTACTGTTATTTTAAAATGAATTAATACATATTTTTAAAGTATTGTTTTAATTTCTAAAACAGCAGCTGTCAATAGATATGAGCCATATAAAAAAAAGCTATTTGGTTCCTCAATTACTTTTAAGAATATAAAGAGGTCCTAAGACAAAAAAGTTTGAGAACTGCTACTTTAGATGTATCACTAACAATTTCATCCTCGACGCCCAAGTTCAGACCTACTCTGGGACCTTTCCGTAGCTGGTGACTGTAGGAAGCTCCACCCCTTGATTTTGCACGGCTCGCTCCCTCAATTCACTCACATATGTGCACGCATACCACCACCTCCAACATCAGGGAGGCAGCATGGTTGGATTTTTGGCAAGGGCCCTTTCTTTCTGGCTTGCTGATGGCTGCTTTATTTCCGTGTCTTCACACAGTGGAGGGAGAAAGCCCCCTGGTTTCTTCCTTTTCTTATAACAGCACCAATCCCATCACAGGAGCTTCATCTTCACTGACCTCATCTAAACCTAATTACCTTCGAAAGGCCCTACCTCCAAATACCATCACATTGGGACTTATGGCTTCAACATATGAATTTTCAGGGGACACACTCAGTCTGTAACAGCAGCATAGCCACTTGTAGAAAGGAAAGTTGTTGAAGGACTTCCGAATCGAGAAGGAGAAAAATAAATAAATAAAAACTAGGTCAAACAAGAAAATGTAAGAAGCGAAAACTAGAGAAAAAAGAAAATAAACAGTAAACATACTAAGGAAGAAAAATAAAATGAAATAATGTATTTCAATTGTTACACTAAATAGGAACAGACAGAATTTCGCTTTTGATAGATATGGACTAACAAGAATTAAAAACAAAACCCAGTTAAACACAATATAAAAGAAACACATTAAAATAAAGAGATAACAGATGGGTTTAAAAATAAAGGAATGAACAATGGTATGTCGGACAAATAAAAAAAGAGAAAAGCAGGACTGCTAACATTAACATGAAATAAGGTGGTACTTAATGCTGAAAGCACTAACGTGGCAAAGAGAGACACTGTGTAATGAATAATAAAAGGTACAACTGACAAGGTCAGGGTAACAGTTTAAAATTGTATGCACCAAAGCAGCAGCCAAATGTATAAAGCAAAAAGGATTAGCAATGCAAGGACAACTCAGTAAGAGTAAATTTTGGTACATTTGTCTTATTCAAAATTATTTTATGTGTGTGTGAACAATATGTTTACCTAATTGTAAATTATTCAGAATTAGGCAAACCTAATAGAGAAACTAAACAACACAATTAACACACTTAATTAAATAAACATCAAACTTTGTATCCTAACAGGCATAAATGTGTTTTTTCTTATATGTGTAACAAGCATAGGAAAATCAATCATGCACTTAGCCAAACAATAAGTAAAATTAAAAAAAAAAAAAGCAGACTCCATAGGGAAAATTCTGATCATAATTGAGCACATCCGAAATAAAATAAAAAATTATCCAAAAAGTCTTTACTTGGAAATTAAGAAATACTTTTCAAAATGACCCACGGATAAGAAAGAGAATATCAAAATAAAAGTTACAATATTCTTAGAAAGCAATAAAAAGATCACTTCCTACTGAAAACTGAACACAGAGAAAGCTAAAGTATGAGCAAATGATTAACCCTTCAATGCCTCATTATTAAATAACTATTTTAAAGAAAGATATAAAAGCAACAATTAAAACTCTTTAAAAAAACAGGTATAAAACAATTATTACAGACTACTTATTAAACAACAAAATACATTAT